ACTGGCGTTTCATCCGTGGGAGCTCCCAGCCAGCCTCCTCCCCCATGTCACAGATCTCTCCTTCTGACATCCCATCTTATTTTTGTCTGGAAGAATGTCTCACTCTGACTTTTTGTTGGCTCTGCCACCCCAGAATTCTATTTGAGGCATTATTTTAAAGTTGTTTGGAGGGGAATGTTGGGAAAGCTTGCCTAAGTGCTTTCTCTACTCTGCCATCTGGGCTGTGCCTTGGGAAGTCCCTGATATCTTTCTTGTAGCCAAGCATACTCCATTCTGTACTTGAGAGGTTTTTATTTTATTTTTTTTAACCAAGTGTAGAACTTTATGTTTATCTCTATTAAATACAATCTTATTCCATTCAGCCCATCATTCTAGGCTATCAGGATGATCCCTTTGGATCTTGGACTAACTACCTCACCCACTTCAAGTCACTTGACAATTTGACAAATATATTATCTATGACTTTATGTAAGTTATTGATAAAAATGTTAAAATGTTAAATGTCCCTCTCTGCCGGGGAAAGGATTACTAAACACAACACTTCCAGTCAATGGAGGGCTGGTAGTTGTGAAGGTAGTAGTTCAATTAAGGAGCATAGCTGAGACCCAGAAGGAGGCTGAAAAGGCAAGTTGAAATATCTGTAGCCTTTCTTCTGCAAGAGAGAGAGGCTTTACGACCGATAGCACTGGGTGTTTAGTGAAAGTGGCTAAAAGTGTTGATGAAAAAACTGTAACCACAACATTCCTAGTAGATGTTGTACAGGACATCAGATGACCCTAAAGCTCAAGTGGACGAGCAACTGGAGTCCAGAGCTACTCCTGGCAAGAACATTGGAAGTACTATCTGGTGAAAATCAGCTTGACTGGGAACAGCTGAAATGCAACACAGCTGGGAATCATGCCCAGCAGAGGCTTTGAAATATTAGGCATGTTTCCACGCATGTGCCCTGGTCATACATATTCTAGAATTCATCCCTTCAGATAGGCACCCTGGCCTTTGGTGTTCCCCATATGTGGATGAATTCTAATCAAAGTTCACTTATCCCATTATATATTCATGAGAGAATGAGTTTAAGGTTTACGGAAAATGAAACATTACTATTCCATGTACACCGCTAGCTAATTCAAATCCCTTTGTTATGAACTGGGTGTCACTGGGTTTGCTGGTAAAATAAAACATAAAATAAAATAAAACGTTAGTGGGGGCTCATCAGCTATAATTTGAGAGGATTTGGAAGTATAAAACACTTCCACACTTGGGTAGCCAATTGGAGGTCTCAGAATGAGAAGGCCTGGGGGAGCTACAAGTAATAGACAAATATACTGGCATCGAAGTCATGTGTATAAACCAGTGAAACAGCACAGTTTTAAATTTCATTTCAGAAAAAGAGGTTATGCCCTGATTTTATCTTAAAAGGCCCTAGCATAATAATTCGATGGCAACCAATCTACTGTTCATAAAAGAATTGACTCAACTTGTAATGATTTTGCCTCGCAGAGGCTGATTTTATAAAATGAGCATGCACAAAGATATCATTGTTAGATCAAACCAACTTACTCAGGCAGCAACGTATAATGGAAATAGGGTTGGACATAATGTCAGATACCTGGGTTCAAATCCAAGATCTTTTATTCATTTAGCTGTGTAATCAGAAGCAAGCCACTTGTCCTCTCTGGGATCTAATTTCTTCATCTATAAAATGGTGATTATTGTGTATATTTGTATACCTACATACATACATATATATGCAGATATAACATCATATATACGTATGTAGTATATCATATCTATGTGTAGATATAAATACGTTATTCTACTATTGAACTTACAGAGTTGTTGTGAGAAAAGTCTATTTGTGAATTTTCAAACACTTTACCATTGTTGTTGATACTACAGCAGCAGAATTTTAACAGATTCCTTAAAATAAGCAAATAGGTCAACTTGAAATTATTAGACTAATAAAACACATTTGTGGGAACATACGGTTAATATTAAAGCATTTTTGTGACTTTAGAAGAAATAAATGCTGTCCCATTAGATTAACATTTTGGCTTTTTAAATCCCAACTTTGTGATCAACAGATAAAATTATCTTTTATATGTGGGAAATTGGTGTACAACTTCAAAAGTAAAACTGCCTTTTTGTAGAATAACAATTTAAATTTACATCATGCTTTACACAGGTCACCTCATTGAAGCCTCAAAATAACCATGTGACGTAACGACCATATATCTCATACATCGTGTACAGGACGCTTGACTTGGGTTCAGAACTCAATTCGAACACTCTCTGAGTGATCCTGGGCAGGTCACATAAGTCCTTGGGGACCTCAGTTTTCTCAAGTGTAAATGAAGGGGTTGGAGTGGATGGCTTCTCACAGCTCTCCCTTCTAGCTCCAGAGCTGCTCCTATAAACTATCCATACTTATCTTCTATCATATCTACCTTAGTAGTCACTTTAGCCTATGCGTTTGGATGCCAGTATTTCCATCAAGTCAAAATCTGATAGAAAATACTCAAAAATACTCAAGTGAAACTGTGATCTCATATTGGTGAACACTCCTCCTAGTGATGCCAATCCCAAGCTATCCATGCTTTCCATTCCTTATGACTCATTTCCATGCCCCTTCCACATATTTGCCACAGGATGTCTATCTAATGTGCTGGGGGTCTTGCATACTTTCTCTTGGCTTCATAAGATTACCAGTGGAGTCCATGGGTTGCCCCTCAGTTATCTCTCGCTATTAATTACCATGTGACCAGTCCACCGATTGAAAATATCATAGAAAATTATTTGAACCAATTAAATTAAATCTAACATTATTTCAAGAAAAAATATCAAATAGGATAGAGGCCTAATTTATTTTCATAAGCAATATAGGCAATATAATTCTATCATCTGAACTGCGTTTAGAATTTTATATTTGTTTATTCTGTTTTATTTATTAAACTGATTTACTTCTAACAAGAACAGAAATTACACCTTTTAAAAATTCATTAAAACATTAGAAAACCTTTCAATTAAAATGTTAGTTTTATATGCTCTCTCTACCATCTGCTGGTTATAGCTATTATTACAATTTCTGTAAATTTAAATGTTTTTCTAGCCCCCTAGCGGCCTTAAAACTGCATGAAACCTTTCTGAATTTTCCCAGTGCCCTGATTGCCCAAACTACTTAATATTTGCTGTGTCTGTTTTCATTTGCCTGTGTATCTGTTGTTTCTCCATTATAAAATGTAAGCTCTTTGAGGGCAGGGACTGTTTCATTTTTGTTTTTTGTAGTTCCAGAATTAAGTACAATATATGGCACTGAGGAGGCAGGAAAGCGCTTCCTTAAATTGAATTGAGGACTTTCCCATCTATAAGGGTCCTTTTCCTATTTGTCTTATCACACAGTTTCTCAAAAGCCATTATTCAGCTATTTCATTTGATGTTTACAAGCATACTGATAGCTAAGAAATTAGTAGGAATCAAGTTAATACATGTTGGAAAAGAGAACTTCACTAGAGGAGGAGATGGTTAGTGTGTCTAATAGAAACGCAAAATGGTGCTTCAAAAAATATTAGATAGAAGAAAACAAAAAAAGACGCAGAACAAGAGAAATCTGGCTGCTGCTGCTACTACCACCACCACTACCACTACTGCACCTGTTATCACTAACACCACCACTACTGCTACTGCTAGTATTACCACTGCTGCCATGACTACTACTACCACTACTACTGCAACTACTACTACCACCACCACCACTTCTTCTTCTTCTACTACTATCACCTTGACTACTACTGTCACTACTATTGCAACTACTACAGCTAACACCGCCACCCCACTACCAACACTGCCACCCCACTACCGTCACCACCACTACTACTATAGTGTTTACAATTGGATGGAACTTGAATTCTGGTCTTCTTGGCCCCCCCCCCCCCATTACACCACTTCCTTACCTGTAAACACTAAGGAGAAACCTCAGAGACAGGATGACCTTAAGTCTCACCTCTGACACAAATGGGCTGTGGGACCCTGGGTAAGTCACAACCTCTCAGTGTTTTAGGCCATATCCTAAGACTGAAAGCTGTAGATGACTTATCTACCTGAAATGATAAAAGGAACTTTCAATGAGCAGTTCACTACATCAGTGAAATCACATTTATTCTCTGTCTATCCCTAACATTTATATGGAATTCTAGGCTAACGGTCTGACTGTGGTCCCCCAACTCCAATCCAGGGCTTAACCCACCATGCCACTTGGCTGCTTCTTGGGTCCCCAAAGCCCTTTGACATTATATTATGTTGATGATGATATTCATATCACTTAATGTTTGCAAAGATCTTCATATCAGTTATCTAATTTTGTCCTCAAAACACTCCTGAGAGGGAGCCGTGAGGTACTATTATTATTCCCATTTAACAGATGAAAAAGCTGAGGGTAGATGTGGTTAAGTGTCAGGGTCACACACAGCTTTAGAATGTCTCTCTCTCTCTCTCTCTCTCTCACACACACACACACACACACACACACACACACGCACACACACACATATATTATGATTTTTGATCCAATCTTTCTGCCTCCAAATCCAGCCCTCCTGCCACCAGCACACCTAATTGCCCCTCAAAGGCTGCAAAATGCTTTTCCACCTATTATTTCATTTGGTAAATTGTTCAGTTTGATATCCAATTAACCAAACACATTCAGATTCTTAAACAATCCTCATTTGTTCTTTGTATATTGAAATACTTGTATTTGCTGATTGGCACATTACACAGAAAAAGAAGAAAACAACAACCACATCCTAAGTAGGAGCCTGACACTTCAGTAGCCACAGCTACCCCCACGTAAACAACCTGGAGAAAAAGGAGTTGGGATGAAGACAGGAAGCTGCACGTGGTCCCCAGGCTGCCAAGGGCCGGGAGGCTGCGCAGTGGGAGGAGAGGCTGCGCGCGCAGCAGGAGCCGGCACGCGGCCGCCGGACGTCGTGGCCTCGCGGACGTCCGGCGGTCACCGTGACAACCTGAGGAGAGGCAACGGTGGGCGGAGCGAGGAGCGGTTGAGGTTGGCGGCGGCGGGCCGCCTCCGCAGGCAGCGAGGCCTCAGCGGTTGGCTCGGGCCGGTCCCCGCGCAGGGACTATGAGAAGATGGTCGTGCAGACGAGGAACAAGCACAAGGATCTGCCGTCCAAGGGGGACCAGGCCCCCCGCTGCCCCTTGCGGAGCCGCCGGGGCATGGGCAGCGGCGAGCGGAGGCCTCTGACGGAGGACAAGTGCAGCAGGGGGCCGCGGGCCTCGTCGCCTGCGCCCATCCATCCGTCGGGGGGCGGCGGCCGCAAGGGGCATGCCCCGGGGTCGCTGCCGCGCCGGCTGCTGATCGGCACCGTGCAGCCCTTCATCGGCCTGTTCCTGGAGAAGCTGCTGAAGCTGCGGCGCTACCAGGGCTTCTCGTGGAACCTGACGCTTTCCATAGGTGAGCCCCCGCAGCGTCGGTATCTCACGTGGGGGCCCCCCCCCGGGCATCCAGACCACCTTGTGGGAGGGCCTGCCCGGTCCCTTCTGTTGTGGCCGAGGCCCGAGCCGGCCCAGGTAGCAGTGGCAGATCTCCCTCTCTCGGGCGGTAACCCGCGCCTGACTTTACGTCGCTTTCCTAGAATTCAGGCCAAACTCCCTCGTTTTACCGTCGTCAGGCCTGGCCCTGTGCCAAGCAGAAATGGTCCGCTAATGCCTGGAGAGGTGCAGGAGATGGCGGCAAGGATCTCCTCCTGCTAGCCACTGAGTTAGGCGGTGGTACAAGGACAGCCCTTTCCCTTCAGGGGCTTATAGTCTATGGCTGGAGCAAAGTATATGCAAAGGTATTCAAACGAGGCATTTTGCTGGGCCTCAGTTTCCTTATCTGTGATTACATCACGTTGTTATAGTTGTATGTGTTATTTCTCGTGCTGCTCGCTTCTCTTTGCATCAGGTCATCTAAACCTTCCCATGCTTCTCCGAATTCTTCATATTCTTTGTTCCTTACAGTATGGTAATATTCCGTTCTAATCACGTACCACTGCTTGTTTACTGGCCAGCACTTGGCTTCTAATTCATGGCTATCACGATGCCTGCTGCTATATATATGTTTAATGTTCTTAGGACCTTTATTTGTGTCTTTTATCTTTTTGAGGATATAAATACCAAGCAGTTAAAAGCGTTGGCCTTTTTAATGGCTTTTTAAGCAGAATAATTACAAATTGCTTTCCAGAATGGTGGATGGTCAGAGTTACAACGACAGCATGTTAGTGTACCTGCCTTTCCGTAGCCCTCCGACAGTTACTGTACACCCGTCTTTTGTGGTCTTTGGCATTTTGCTGGGTGTGAGATAAAACTTTGAAGGTGTGTTGATTGGCAGTTTTATTATTGGTGCTTTGGAGCTGTATTTTGCATGGTTATGAGTAGTCTGCAGTTCTTTTGAGAACTTTTCATAGCTTCTTAATACTTATCTCTTGGGGAATGATTAAGCATTTGTATTAATTTGCTATGTATCTTGCATAGAAGACTTAATATCAGTATCGGATATTTGATGCAAAGACTTCTTCCTATTTGATGGCTTCTCTTTTATCCTGGCTTAATTGATTTTGTTTGTTCAAAGGTTTTTCAGTTTGATGTAATCAGAACTGTATTCTTTGTGATCTGCTATATCCTTTGGCTAAAGAAGTCTCTCCATTTACTATTGAAAGATAACTGATGTTTAAAATATTTATTATAATATGACCTCTAATACTTAGGTCACATCCATTTTAAGCTTATTGTGATATTTGGTGTAAGATGGTGGTGTAAACTTAATTTCTGCTGTTTTCCAATTTACCCAGCAGATTTTGTAAGTAGAAAGTTTAGTGTCTTATTTTTTATGTTTGTTGGGCACTTGATTATTGAGTTTGATTGGTTTCTGATTCTTCCTTATCTAGTGTGTTCATCCGATCTATTTTCTATTTTTTATACCAGTACCAAAGAATTTAGATGATTATTTCGTTATAATTTGACACTTGGAAGTGCTGTACCCTCTTTATTCCTACTTTTTTCATTTTCTAAATATTTTATCCCTCTAAATTAATCTTGCTGTTAGTTTTTTCTGACTTTTCACCCCTCCGGTAGTTTGGACCTCCTATTATCAGTTGGCGGTAAGTATGAAATACTCCCTGGGCCTTAATTTCAGGAATTCCTTAACTTAAAATTTTTTTTAAATAACTGTATTTCAGTGTAACTGGTTTCCTTTGTAATCCTATGTATTCTATTTTATACATTGTAAGAAATTATTCTGATAAAGGACCCATAGACGTCACCAGACTACCAAAGGGTTTCGTGGCACAAAAAGTAAAGAACTCCCTGCTATAAGGCCATCACTTTCTTGCTCGAGACTTGATCCTTTTGGTCTCTTCTATACCATGCTGTTTGTGTGTTCAACCCTCTTTTTCCTTTTCAGATAAGAGCAAGGTTCAGGTGATGCTCACTCCCTGTATCCTGTCCTCTTGTTTATATACTCTTCTTCTCAGGTACCCTAGTCATGAGAAGTATCGAGTTCCACCCCTTTCTTTATTAAAAAGCTCACTTTTCTTTCTTATCATCAGACCCTCTGAACAGAACCAAACCACCTGTAGGACCTCTGTTCTTCAGTCCCCTTTAAAGACATGAGGGTCTGGAGATTCTTGTTCCTTTTCCCCCTGTTAGAATGTTAGCACCACATCATCCTGCTTCTCCTTTCATTTGCTCAAATATATCTACAAATCTTCCTAAGTAATATATTTCTCTTCCTAGATTTCTCTAGAATCTTGTGTTTGTATTTCCTAGTTTCCTATTCAACTTTGATCTTTTCATAAGGAATGCTTGAAATTCCATTAGATAACCCATTTTTTTCCTCTTGAAGATGATATCGAGCTTTTCAGGGTGTATTATTGTTGATCATGCGCTTATATCCGTCTTTGTATGCATTCTAAGATAGCCTTTCCTTTTTTGTAAGGTGTTTCTCACTGTAGTTTCTTGGTACTTGAGCTTCTTTCTGGATGGTTGCTGTATTTTTTTCTTTGACGTGGCAGCTAGATTTTGGCTGTGGTATTCCAGGAACTTTTCCCTTTTGGGCTTCCTTTTGGGAGCTGATTGGTGGATTCTTTCTATATTTATCTTCTGGTTCAAGATTTCTGGAAATATGGTATTCAGTCTTGCTTTTTTTTAAAAAAAAATCATAGTTTTCAGGTAGTCCAATGATTAATTAACTCTCTTTAAATTTGCTTTCTATTTTTTTTTGATATCAGCTATCTTATATTGCTTTTTACTTTTTCAATCTTTTGATTTTGTTTGTATAATTCTTGCTGTTTTGTAGAGTCATTGATTTCTCTTTGGTCTGTGCCAATTTTCAGGAATTTCATTTCTTGATTACCATTTTCCCTTCTAAACTATTTGTTCTTCTTCCAGTTCTTTTATCCAGAGCTTTTAATTTTTTTCTTGCTTGATTTATTCTAGGTATCAATGTAGTCCTTTTGGAATATGCCTTTTTTTTTCCTTTGAGGCGTTGCTTGCAGAGCCTGTTTTTGAGGATCTCTTGATCTACACTAGTTTTTGATGTGGCATTTTCTTTGAGTTACTTATCTTCCACAGCTTTAGTTTATGAATTGAGGCTTTGTGGTTCTGCCTCCTGATTTGCTTTTGGGTGGAATGTTTGGCCCTGCTTGATTTGATGTTGAGTCTTTGGGTTTGACCTCCATTACCTGGGGTTAGGCCTCCTTTGATCTTGGAGGTTCAAAGTACTAAGTCTTCAAGGCCCTTTCTGATTTTTCAGAACCTAGTATTAGGGAACTTGGAACCTCTGGATTTGGGCGTCTGGATCCAAGCACTGCAGTAACACATTGGTAACTGGCTGCTGCTGCTCTCCGGTCTGAAGCTTGCTCAGACGATCTTTCCACTTGTACTACCTCCTGACATAGAGCCTTGCAGATAACTTGTTTCTCGTCTCTGGTTAAACTGGGAGAGGCTGGTGCTAGAAGAATTCCCCATCCTGTTGCTTTGTTTGTTGGCTTTTTTTGGCTGACTTTTTTTTTCTTCTTCTTTGAATAGTATTTTATTTTTTCCAGTTACATGTGTTTTTTTAAGGCAGTTGGGGTTAAGTGACTTGCCCAGGATCACACAGCTAATAAGTGTCAAGTGTTTGGTCTGAGGCCAGATTTGAACTCAGGTCCTCCTGACGACTTCAGGGCCGGTGCTCTATCCACTGTGCCGCTTAGCTGTACATGTTTTAACAATTATGATTTCAATATTAATTTAAAAATTTTTTGAGTTCCAGATTTTCTCCCTTCCTCCTTCCCTTTCCCTCCCTAAAATAGTAAACATTTTGATATAGGTCATATATGTACAGTCACGTAAAACATATTTCCATATTAGTCATGTTGGGAAAGAAGAAATAGACCAACTTTGCTAGAGTTGTTAATTATTAAAAGTAGTTTTTTAGTTGATTCTCTAGGATTCTCTGAGTGTACCAACCATTATATCATCTGCAAAGAGTGATATTTTTATTTCTTCATTGCCTCTTCTAATTCCTTCAATTTCTTTTTTCCCCTCTTATTTCTATAGCTAACATTTCTAGTACAATATTAAGTAACAGTGGTGATAATGGACATCTTTGTTTCACCTCAGGTCTTATTGGAAGGTTAATTTTAGCTTGTCTCAGTTATAGATAATGCTGATGATTTTAGATACATACTATTTATCCTTTTAGAAAATACTTCATTGATTCCTGTGCTGTCTAAAGTTTTTAAACAGGAATGGGTGCTGTATTTTTTCAAAAACTTTTTGGGCATCTGTTGAGATAATCATATGATTTCTGTTGGTTTTGTTATTGATATAGTCAATTATGCTGGTAGTTTTCTTAGTATTGAACCAGTTCTGCATTCCTAGTATAAATCCCACCTGGTCATAGTGTGTGATCCTGGTGATATACTGCTCTAATCTCCTTGCTAGTATTTTATTTAAAATTTTTGTGTCAGTATTCATTAAGGAAATTGGTCTATGGTTTTCCTTGTCTGTTTTGGTTCTTCCTGGTTTAGATATCAGCACCATATTTGTGTCGTAAGAGGAATTTGATATAGGACTCCTTTGTCTATTTTGCCAAATAGTTTATATAGTATTGGAATTTTTCTTTAAATGTTTGGGTTGAATTCACTTGTGAATCCATCTAGCCCTGGAGATTTTTTCTTGGGGAGTTCATTGATGGCTTGTTCAATTTCTTTTTCTAAAATGAGGTTATTTGGGGGGGCGGAGCCAAGATGGCTGAGTGAAAGTAGCAACTTGCTTGAGCTCTCCACCAAACCCCTCTAAATACCTATAAAAATGGCTCTAAACAGATTCTAAGGCAATAGAACCCACAAAAAGACAGAGTGAAACAAATATCCAGCCCCAGACAACCTGAATGATTGATGAGAAAGGTATATCCTGCCGGGCTGGGAG